TAGTGGCGCTATCGAGAGAACTTCTCGGAGTATCATCAACATGATTGTTAGTTCGTAATTATTTTGCAAGCCGTTCTAATGTACCTACCTAAATTAACAGGCTCGTATGTACGAACCATCAAACACACGCATGGGTTACAAACAAATACACAAATTTATTAATCAAGAAACAATTCTTTTGTGTTTGTTGGCCTGCCTGCGTCATTGTCATCTTAGTGAAGCGTTTCATTGAAATTCTCGTCGTATTTAATTTTCCGTTATTCGCTGAGAGAAGTTTATTTAAATGTCTGCCAGTGTTAGCTGATGAGATTATTATTCTGATTTCTGAAAAAATGTATATTATAAACATTTGCAAAGTGCAAAATATTTACTTACTACGAACAAATATATTACTGCGAGCATCTTACGTTTATGCCCATTGTTTATTTATTTTTATATTTATAAATATTTGAACTGGCAGCAGGACAAAACCTTTAACCAAAAATAAAATAAAAATAAAACGCTGATAAACAAAACGCAGTTATCCTTCATTTCAGATTGTAATAATTATATCATATTTGCTTACTAACTAACAGAGACATTAGAAGCTGGAAATAAATTTGGTATTACAACCTTTTATACATTATCTTCTAATATTATCAATGAGGCATCTGCATCGGGCCATGACGATCTGACCACTCATTTCTGATTATTTTATCAGCAAAAACAATTTTGTGAGTACGAACTCCTTCTTATCCACGACCATCTTTGTAAACTACATTAACAGGATTTTGTTATTTGGCCTTATACTAATAGAAATGCTTTATAGAATTTTTAAAATGTAGTTAGATGAGGAATACATCTCTGTTCACCTCCAGTCTGTGTGTGCATTGGTTCATTTGCAAGCCCGACAAAAAAGTGCCGTTCACGTTTCTTGATGAATAGAATAAAATAAAATTCTTAAATAAAATTTATTTGCCTGGTTAACGGCGTTGAAATTATACTGAACCAAACACTTTTTAAATGCTTGCAAGGTATCAAAAGCAGATTGATGAAATATTTTTATACAACACAAACACGCACACGCACACAAAACACATACAATCACACATACTTACATACAAACATACATTCACACATACATACCAACATACATTCACACATACACACATACAAACATACATTCACACATACACACATACAAACATACATTCACCACACATACATACAAACATATATTCATACATACATACATACCAACATACATTCACACATACACACATACAAACATACATTAACCACACATACATACAAACATACATTCACACATACATACATACCAACATACATTCACACATACATACATACAAACATACATTCACACATACATACATACCAACATACATTCACACCACACATACATACAAACATACACTCAAACATACATCAAAAATAACTTTGTCAACATACATACACACAACACATACACTCACACACGCACACTGTCATACCAACATCATACATTCATTCACACACACATCTACAACCAACTAAACATGCACACGAGTGAAGTTACAATATTAAAACACAAACAAGTGAACACGTCAGCAACAAACTCCACTACACTCTTTAAACATTCAAGTTCATTTAATACATTACCCAAACTTCATTTAACTCACTCATATGCGCGTCATACAGAGCGAAACTCATATACGATGAAATGTTGTTTGCTCGTAGAAAAATATTCTTAAAATAAATTTTTAAACGTATGTACACGTACTTCTTATTTAGTAATAATTTTTATTTACACATATAACCAAAGGCCACATAATTAAAAACGTATCTGTGCGTGTGTATGGGTGTGTGTGTCATATATAAACAAATATATTATATATATATATTTATATATATATATATATATATATTCTATATATACGAGGTTTTCATTATAACAAATTTGATTAAATGATTTTGGTCTCATTTAGCGTTTATTAATTTTTTGAAATTTCTTACCTTCTTGTCTTTTCAAGGAATTAATAAACTCTAAATGGGCAAAATCATTTAATCAAATTTGTTATATATATATATATATATATATATATATTCTATGAATATATATATGCATATATATATATATATATATATATTCTATGAAGATTATGTGTGTATCATACTGCGTGTGTGTACATTCTTGCGATAACTTACAATGCTGTGTTCATAGCTGGGCATTCATTCACTCATTCATTATTCGTTTGTTTGTACAATATTTTCAATCATTTTTATGAACGTTGGATTGATCGTACGCTTAAAAGTAGTCCTCTAATTAACTGAACGCTGTTTCTAAAATTGTCAATTAAAAATAATGTTTTAATTTAGCAAGTTCATTTGTTGTTATCGAAATAATCAAGTAAATAATAACGGATGCTTGTGTTTGCTTTGGGTTCAAAATGGTTAGACCTGCTTGATAAATTCTTTTTTTAGTTTTAGAGTATTGTATACGATTAATTCATTAATATTTATTATTTATTAAAATATTTTGGATATTATGGAAAAATCTTAGATCAGTACTGTGTAATCCAAGAAATTGTAAAGAAAGAGTTAGAAAGGAATTGTCATAAATTTTAAAAGGTAAATTTTGCTTCATTTAGTTTAGCTCCTGCCCCTTTTTTATAACCCGTTCCTGTCTTGTTGTTATGGTAATCTAATAAACGTGATTTAAAAGCGCAATTCTGAATTCCCAGTACCGACGTAAGATTTTGCCGGATATTATAATCATTTTTGTTGTTTTTTTTAATTATTGTTATTATTATTATCATCAGAAATATCATTCTTACAACACCTGCCGTAATAAGGCGTATTTCTTTCAACATAACCGAATTATTTTTTCAGTCTGTTTGCACGCCGCCGATTTCTATCGTTGTCGGTTTTGTCAATATTTTACTTACTGAATTGAATCGCCATTGAAATGTTTTAAGCAAAAGTCAGGGTCGTCATTAGGTAGTAGAGAGCTTGCACATGTATATGTTTGCGCATAAAATTATACATATTAGATACAAACTTTTAACTTAAATACGCATTTGTTAGAATGGTTAGCGTTAATTTAATGCCAATGCAACCAAGAAAATAAAATTCTGCCATTAACTTGTCTTTTATAGTTAACTTCATTAACCTCAATTCTATAACTCGCGTGCTGAAGTTACCATCATTAAAATCATCTAAAATTAATACCATGAAATAATCACAGGTCTTGAGTAAACTTTGCTATCATCAGAGATCATCTATCAAGATCATCATAGGCCATCATAGATTGTAGATCAGAATGTTTGGTTGTTTGTTCACTTTCTTTCTATGCCTAACAATTAGCATCTGCCAGTAACATAACTTAACAAAATCTAACTTAACATCACACGGCATAACTACTGGGAGACATCAACACTCTGTTATATTAATGATTAATAAAATAATAATTGCTCCTAGGGTCAATTAAATATTTAATTGCGCAGATCAGATAACGCAACGCAACGGAGCAAATTAATTCAGTATCAAACAACTCGTTTGCAGAAGAGGGATGACTCATTTATTTACATGCACAACAACACGACAGTTTTGTTTTAGTGATATTTATATCTGCAGTGAAGATGTAAAACTAATGTGGTAAATGAATGCGTTGCATCAATTCAGCCACAGTATGTCTCTATCTAGCGCTTTGTAATCTATTTTACTGGGAATTAATTGTATGCATGCAGATGAGTTTGCTTTGCATGCCTATTGATTGGACTCTAAACTTTTCAATTTTTCTGAATTTCGTTTTATTCTCAGCTAATAATTTGATGAATTAGTGAAGTTGGATGAATTATTAAAATTGGATAAATTATTGAAACTGGATGAATTATTGAGAACACACTATCATCATTACCATGAATTCGTCGGAGTGTTTGCCATTCACATATTTCGATGTTTGTTTTCGGTTAACAATGATTGCATCAGAATCTCTCTTTCGATTTCAGACACTT